CAGAATTTTTTATAAATAAATATACAATATATATATATATATATATATATATATATATATATATATATATATATATGCTGAATTGCTAATATACTGATTTGCTGCTCAAAAAACAATCAATGTTAAAAACAGTTGTGCAGCTTAATATTTTTGTGGAAACCGTGACACATTTTTCAGGTATCTTTGATGAACAGCATTTATTTGACATAGAAATATTTTGTAAAATTATAATTGACACGGTCACTTTTGATCAATTTAATGCATACTCACTGAAATAAGTAATATATACATATACATATATATATATATATATATAAAATTGCACTGACCCCCAAACTTTTGAATGCTATACCATATAATCAAAATTATGATTAGTTCAGTCGACTCATCTCTAAAAGCGCTAAGAAAAGTAACATGCTCCACTTGATTGATTTATTTTATTTATCCTTTATTTTTCCAGGAATGTCCCATTGAGATAAAAGAAAATCTCTTCTTCCAGGCAATCCTGGACAAGATGACCATATAAAAGTTTCACAGAAAATGTAAAAAATAAAACGTACAACACACAAGGCAAAATTATAAACAGCCAAAGCAAAAAAAAGTAATCATGAATCAACAAATGAATTAAAACAGCAACATGGTTCATTCACGACTTGACAACACCGCCCATGCAATGCAAGCTTTATGCAGGCTTCAGCAGTTGTCTGGGTGACAGAGTTTACAGACAGTGAATAATAAAATGTTGTCTTATGTACCTTTTTATGACTCATACTGGAGGCTATTTAGCAATTTCTCCACTGTCATGTGACCACTGACGTCACGATAAGAATAACAGTTTCTGTAAGAAAGCATCCCCCTCTGCAATCATTACCCCTACAATCTATTTATAGAATGGCTAAATGTCAAAGTCATTCTCAGAGTACAACCAGGAAAAGACATTAACCTGAGAGAGAGGCAGAGGTCACTGACCCGAGCTGTTTTTACTTGCTCAACCTAAACCTGAGACATAGATTTCCGCTCAGAACATCTTTTTTACTGTTATCAATTTAAGATATTACACATGGATGTTTAATGCAAGCTATGCATCTGAGCACATTGATCTAAAGAAAAAGAAAGTAAAACAAAAGTGTACTCAATTAAATTACATGCTCTTCCTCTTCAACAACTTTCCCTTTTCTACTGACGTCACGGTGTGGCCAAGTGGATAATGTTAACCACCAGCCAACAAACTCACATTCAGCCTGGATATAAAAGTAAAACACACATTACAGAAGTAAAATTGGTTGTGAACTATGGAAGCTTGTTTCTACAATGGGACAAGAAAAAAAAAGGTAATTGTGACATTTTCTCTCACAATTCAGCCTTTTTTCCTCACAATTCTGAGAAAAAAAAATGTCAGAATTGCACAATTTAGAGGCAGATTTGTGAAATATAATTGTGAGATTTTAACTCGCTTATAAACTAAACGGTTTATATATATATATATATAAAAAATCTGAATAGTAAGATAAGTTGCAATCATCATTTTGCATAGTTCTTTTAAATTCCGTGGCAGAAAAAAAAGAATTATGAGATATAAGCTCGGAATTTACAGAAAAAAAGTCTGAATTGTGAATATAAACTGCCATAACTATAAAGTCAGAACTGTGAGATAAAGATAAAGATAAGCAATTATCTTTTTTGTGTTTTATCCTATGGTGGAAAAAGCCTTCCATAAATAATGGAACAGAAACTCACATTGACTTTAACTGGAAAACTCTAGAGCAACTACAAATGCTAAATAAGAGCATTTTTTATAAATACACTGGCTTATAGTTACATGATGAGGACAAATATCAATCTTTCGGAAAGGAATAGTTTCCCTTATTCTGTTACTGCTTAGATTTTTTCGTATTGAACAAAAAGTCACACTTTAACCAACCATAGGGTTAGTAAGAAAATGGCAACTTTACACACAATTGTGGTTGTACTCTAGGTAAATATGCACTTTAAACTGGTTTGAACGTCTCGCGCCATCCAATTACATTGCTTGTGGCTTTTATACTTTCACTGACCATCATGTTTGTGATCAAATTAGGTCAAAACCCCTAAAGAAAACCAACAGGCTGAGCAACAGTAAATACCTGGCACAGAAAACTTAAAAGATTTACGTTTAACATGTTTTTAATCAGACAAAACATCACGAGAAATCTATTTAGACAGCTCACTATGATTTGACGCACAGCCTTTATAAGGAAACAGCTGTTTAAAAATGTCCACAGTGCCAGTTCACATGAAAATGAATGTAAACAGCCGAGGACGGGTATAAACGCGACAGAGAGCGTCTGTAAGGCGTGGAGAAGGAAACTCACCGCTTACACTGCAGTTCTGCGACCTCTGGCTGATCTGATCAACAGGGCGCTGCTAATTACTGCTCTCTCGCCCAAAATAATGCCATGAGGAGCACTTTAAAGGCCACTTCAAACTCGACTGGAAGCCACGTTACCCGTACGAACAGGCTTCGTCAGGACACTACAGATTCGGCTTGTAAAAACTGCAGTTAAATAAGTCTATCCAAAGTTTTGAATAAGAGTTAACCAAGCAGCTTCCCTCAGAACTTCACGATTCACGGCGACTTCCGGCTTCAGAGTTCCACAAATCATGTCAAAATAAAAGTCCTGCCGTTGTCGCCGCAATACGGCCATGTCTGATGCTGTAAACACAACACTTAGATAATAAAAGTGCAACAGTAGCGTTCCTGTTCGTATAGGAACACAACTGTCATTTTTGCACTTCTATTTAACATGACTTGATACGTGCATCTGACTTGTAAAGAGAATTTAGCAAGTGCAGAGAAACAGCTAAATATATTATAAAACTTTTAATATCAGTATGCACAAACTGCAGCAAAATTAAGACTTTAAAGCAGTGACTGAAAAAAAAACGAATCTGTTGTGTCCAGTGTTGGGGGTAACGCATTACAAGTAACGCAATCAGATTACTTTTTTCAAGTAACTAATAAAGTAACGCATTACTTTTTCATTTACACGAGAATATCTGAGTTACTTTTTCAAATAAGTAACGCAAGTTACTTATTTTTTTCAAATTTATTGACAGCTCTCCTGTCCCCATGTTGAGAGAAATCAGATGTTACTGTAGTTCTAAAATAAATATGCATTAATTCATCTCACTCACTCACAAAAAAAAACAAAAAACAGATTCAGTATTCCTCAAAATGAATAAAAAATAATGCAACTCAGAATATGACGCAAACCTGCAATAATTAAATGTTAAACAACACAAATATCCTTTATGTATTTAATCCCATTCTATTTGCTTCTGACCTTCGATGATCCAGTTCAACCGTACTAATGAGCACAAATTACTCTAGACAAACATTTGTGTGTTTTTTTATTGCTGAAGTGTGTTGAAATTTCTTCTCCTGCGTTCTACTGTACGGACGTAAATGTACTTTCCCTTCAGCCTGAGGCTTATTCATTTCACTTTTGCTGTGAAAAGGCTTTTATATTTGCCAAAAATAAAACTTTTTGATTTTAAAAACAAAGCAAGCAAGCCCTGTCCAGATTTAAAAAGTAACGCAAAAGTAACGTAACGCATTACTTTCCATAAAAAGTAACTAAGTAACATAATTAGTTACTTTTTTATGGAGTAACGCAATATTGTAATGCATTACTTTTAAAAGTAACTTTCCCCAACACTGGTTGTGTCCTTGTAAGTAGTAAGTCTAGTCAATTCTCACCACAGGTCAAGTAAAACATAACTGTAATACTGTGTAATTTAGAAATTACAATTTGTGTTACAATTATGTTCAATAAGTCACAACAGAACATTTTTAAAACAATCTATGTACAACATTCATTTATAAAGCATTTGCACAATATATTAATATATATTTTATACACATTTATATGAGAATAAGCTATGATATACACAATTTGCATAATTCATATAAAACTGAATTAAAATAAGACTATTTTATATACAGTGCATTTACAAATCTAATAACGTAAATGAAATCATACGATGCAGATGAAGAAAGTTAATTATACAGCTAGTATTATGGTTTGGATTAACTGCAAGAAAACAAGCTCTTTGTCTTATTGTGCCTCATTGTAAGATGTGTCAGCAGCCAAAATGTGATGCAACACAGAAAATACCGTGAAAGGTGCTTCTTTCCAAGTCCAATTATTCTAGGAATTTTGGCAGTAAACTGCATCCATACCAAATGTCCATGTCGTCTGTTGGACTGGTTCGCTGCTGTAACAGCAGGAAAATATCAAACATACGTGACAAATACTGAGTGCAGCTGTTACAGTAGCTGCGCTTCACAATAAAGAATCTCCCTTTTTCTCAAACACAGTCAGTGTCGTGGCCATTATTCATGACCTGGACAGAAGCAGCAGAGCAGATCGTCAGGACTGGAAGAGCTCCAGGGGAGGAGCTGGTAAATAAGACAAGAAACAGATGATTCGGTTTGGGAGGCCCAGTTGAGTCAACACCCCCAGCACCCGTTTCCCGAAGGCATTTCTGAAAGCAGTTCTGCATAACCGTTGAAGACTGAGAGGTGTGGCTGGAAGATGTCAAACAAGAAGTTGTCATTCTTTAGTTGCTTTAGCCAAACTAATAAAAAAACATTTTTCATATTTGCAATTCCACATATAATTTTTTTACTTTGACTTTTTAATTTTCCACTTGTTCTCTAACCTTTAAAAAAAACAGGCCATTTTTTGATAATGTGCTTCCCTTCTTTTTAGTGGTTTAGTTTCAGTAAATGGTCTGGTTGGACGTTTCATTCACAATGAACCTTTTAATCTCAGAGAAACAAGGAAATTTGATATCTCATTATATGACCTCTCTACAAAAAAACCTCTTCTATCATTATACCAGATCCACAGCTTATACTGTAAACGAAGCACTTCAACTTACATTCATAAAACTCTAGGCAGAGTGCAGGCGCTGAGCCGGCTCTGGTGTACTGAATGGGCTTTTTTCCGAGGTTGTCTCTGGCGAAAACATTTCCCCCAAAGTCTACCAAAAGCTCAATTAGTTCCAGATTTTTCACTTTGGCAGCATGATGCAGTGCAGTCTCGTGAAGTTTAGCAGCATTTACATTTGCACCTAAAAACAGGATCAAATACATAAAAGAATACACGGACATCATTGGAATGTACAATGAAAGAACAAGAGATTTGATTTATGTTAATTTGAAATTAGTGGGCTTACTATTTTGTTCACATTAGTTAACTACTTTAGTAGCATGAACTCACAATGAACAATACTGCAGCATTTATTTATCTTTATTATTTAATAATCGTATTTAAACATTTACTAGTAGATTTCTAGAATCTAGTGTTGTTTCTGTTACCATTAGTTAATGTACTGTGAACTAACATGGACAATTGTATTAACAGTAATAAATGCAGTAAAAAAAAGATATTGCTCATTGTTAATCAAGTTAGCTAATGCATTATCCAAATTTCAAATAAAAATAAAACACACAGAAATGTAAATGCAGAAACTGACCTGCGTTGAGCAGAACTTTGACGCAGTCGAGTTGTTGTCTTGCACACGCCACATGCAGAGGAGTGCCAAAGTGACAGTCATGAGCTTCCATGAACGCACCTTCATCAATCATGAGCTGAACACATTTAGAGTTACCTGCCAGACAAAAACTATTTGAGATTTTCCCCTAATCAAATATTGATATATGTGGTTATTTCGTGATTAATTTTAATTAAATGTAATCAGTGCATGATTAATATAATCATAACTAATATATTTTTTATATTATATAATTAAGTATTAATAGAATAATATAATGTTAATACTACTACTATTAATAATAATAATCAGTTCTATAATTGGTGGCACTAATAAATATACATAAACAACTCTAGGTTACATTTTAGAAATAACATTCTATATTATAAATTATTACATTATTATTAATAATAATGAATGTATTAATACATTATTATTTCTTTGAATTATTATTATTATTTTATTATCATTTCTTTTAACCAGTTGACAGCTGTAATAAGCATACATAAATTACCATAGGTTAAACTGTATATATAATACTACTGTATATTATATAATAATAATATATTAATATATCATATTTCTTTTAATCAGTTGACACCCGTAATAAAAAACCATACACATATATATATATATATATATATATATATATATATAGTTTAATAATTATATATAGTTATATAAATATTATAATTATATATAGTTTAATAATTATATATAACAATTATATATAATATAATATAATATATATATATATATATAAAATACTATATTTTATATAATTGTTATATATAATTATTTATTTTAATCAGTTGACAGCCCTAATGAACACACCCTAACAACATAGCCCTAATTTTAGATCTAATATTATAATATTAATATAATAACAAAATAAATATAAAATAAAAATAACAAAATAATTATAAAAAATATATTAAGATTTTTTTTCTTTTAATCAGCTGACAGCCCTATACATAAATGACCCTAGATTAAGTTTTAGATATAATAATAATAATAATACTTCCTGGGTTAATAAACTTTTTTTTTTTTAATTAACCTGGGTTATATCTTATATATTTAATATAATAATAATAATACTAACAAAAATTATTATTATTATTTATTTTTATAATGAGCTGATAGCCCCAATAAACATACATAAGTGACTCTAGATTAAATTTTATATATGTGACCCTGGACCACAAAACCAGTCATAAGGGTCAATTTGAGTGAGTGAATAAATAAGCTTTCCATTGATGTATGGTTTGTTATGATAGGACAATATTTAGCCGAGATACAACTATTTGAAAATCTGGAATTTGAGGGTGCAAAAAAATCTAAATAATGAGAAAATCGCCTTTAAAGTTGTCCAAATGAAGTTCTTAGCAATGCACATTACTAATCAAAAATTAAGTTTTGATATATTTACGGTAGAAAATTTACAAAATATTTTCATGGAACATGATCTTTACTTAATATCCTAATGATTTTTGTCATAAAAGAAAAATCTATAATTTTGACCCATACACTGTTTTTTTGGCTACTGCTACAAATATACCCCAGTGACTTAAGACTGGTTTTGTGCTTCAGGGTCACATTTATTATATATTAATAAAATAATAATAATTTCTTCAATCACCTGACAGCCTTAATAAACATACCTAATCGACCTAATCATGTTACATCAAGCATCAGGTCACTTACCGCCCATGCAGGCCTCGTGCAGCGGAGAGAAGGTGAAGAGGGGAGGATTTACCGTGGCTCCATGCTCTAACAGCAGCTTCACACACTCCAGACTACCAGCAGCACAGGCATCACACAACGGAGTGCTGCAGTCAATGTTACGAGCATCAACCTGTTAACAATGACACTAATATAAACAACCGATGCGCTGACAGATTCATGAGGCCTGCAGTATGGAGAACATTCTTACATGAGCTCCAGCATCAAGGAGCAGCTTCACACACTGTGTCTGGCCCTGAATACAGGCCTCATGCAGGGGTGTAATTGAGTCCACAGCCACAATGTTGACAGATGCTCCGTTCTCAATCAGTTTTTGGAGCTGCACAGCTCTGCCCTGAGCCGCGGCCTCATGCACCGCCGAACGATCGGTCCAGAACCCCAGACCATGAGCTGCAGGTAGAACGAAGAGACAGAACGCCAAAACATAGATGGTACATATAAATGATTTTCAAATAATGCATCAGTAGCGGAAAGTGGACACCAAGAGGAATTATGGTTTGAAGATGAGACGTCCCATTTTGGTGTCTGCATCAACTTAAATATAAGTGATTTTACATTCATATGTACTTGCATTTTAAATGCAAGTAAAGTGTCTACTTTAATGTTTCAAATAACAGACATATTTATGTAAAAATTAAACCACATACTTATTCTGACCTGTACTTATTGAAATATATATATAAAAAAGTGTATAATATGTTAAATGACTAAAAATACCTTGCTGACAAATGGGTAAAATCTAGTGGTATGAAGGATAGATTGGTAAAGATTTAAAATCACAATAATGAGTTTTTAGGAGCTGCACTGTGATCCTTAGAGCCTTTTACTGTCATCTAGTGACTGTTCTAAACATGCCCGACAAGATTTTTTTGTTACATAACCTACTGTTACACATGACATATTAGTGGGTGTCCTCTGTAAATCATGGTAAAACATGAATGATAGTCATTATTTATTTTAAAAAAAAAAACATTAAATAAATCAAATTAAAAAGGACACATTCAAATAATGTATGAGAAACTTTTGTTTTTAAATATATAAAAATTCTGTCACAGTAATACCATGGTATTCTTTGAAGATTAAAAATCAAATTAAGTCATTATCAAGTAATGCACTGGAATTTAAACTGGAATAATAGGAAGATACATTTATGTATAATTTTAAGCATTTAAGTCACACAACAAAGACATTTCAACAATTGTGCAAATAAAAGTCTTGTACTCCATTTGAAAATCTGAGGGCAAACTTCAAACTACAGCATTCTGAGAAATTAAGTTTAGGGCATGTAGCCATTTCAAACACTTTTTGTAAGGAATGTATGTGTCATGGATGATATATTTATTGAATTGCACTGTAAAGGAACATTTCCAAAGGACACGAGCAGGACAGTGAAACTGACTCATCCATCTGTTGACTCAGGCCACACTGATCCAGGGCTTTAGGAACCTGCTAATTGTCATTGGTGACTGATTCAAGGCCAAACGGCATGTGATCACACTACAGTTCTGGCAGCAATATTTGTCATCGAGCCTTGATCTAGGAAACTATATAAAAGCGTGTCATACAGTCACAGTGAACTCTGTCCTGCAGGGTCGAATGTTTACCACCAGACTGCTGGTTACTTGCAGTCTAACAATCACATTTAACAGGTCAGACAGGTTAACTTACCAATGTCACCAAAAAGCGAAGGCCTTGTGCGCGTTATTTCAAATTCCATCATTTACTCCTTTTTTATAAGAGAATAAACTTAGAATATGTGCGTCAGCTATCTAAACGGCATGAGGGTCCGCCATAGTTTACAAACACTGTGGCGAATGAGCTGTAGAGACATAATGTTGTTGTCCTGCAAGGGGCGCACTGTGGCTCAAAAAGACGAATTCTCGTTAAGCCGGATTCAAATCTGAGGGTGTTTTTTCGTCTTATTGGATATATTTGTCTATTGAAATCGTGATAGTTTAAAAAGGTTCATTTGAAAGACTGCTATCTGACATAAATGTGAAGCCGCACCAGCGGTCCGTTTAAAAAAGCAACTGAACCGCTGTGGCGAATAAGCGTCTGTGATTGGTCCATTCTCATCAGCGCTGAGAAAAGTCATCTGTATCACGTGACAATGCAAGTCTACTTCGCACATAACCTGAGGGATCATTTACATCTGAATGATGCCATTCTTAAAATGTAACAGCAACTGAATTAGGAAAATTAAAATTATTTATAAAAATAGCAATTTATAGATAGACCAAAAACGGTCGGGCCGCCAAACTCCGCGCATTTTGAGACAGCTCTGCTTTATCACGCGCAAGTCTGAAATTTCCTGTTTTTTTTTTTTTTTAAGAATTTTTACATTATATTGTTTTTTCTGTGATGTTTTATCTATTAATCCTCAAGTGGTTTATTATTGATTGGTATTTTGTATGTTTTGTACGTACTGTTTTTTACTGTTTGTTTTGTACGTACTGTAATCCTTGTTGTTTACTGCAATAAAAAAAAAGAAAAAAAAGAGGTATGCCCTACCATAATTAAGGTGACTGGAACTTGAAGAAAATAAATGTTTACAGCCTCTTTCAGTACAAAAAAAAAAAAAAGTCTGAAATTTCGGTTCAGTGTCAAAGCGCGACGCTGTTTGGACAAGAGAAGCAAAGACTTAAAGCCTCTTTTTTTTCCTTCAAGGACTGGTTTATTTCATGTGCAAAGCGATGATGCATATCTAGCAATGACGCATATAAAAAAGCAAGTAGTTTGAGCAACAGAAACATGACCTACTTGTCAACATGTAGTACCATTCACAACAACAAAAGAAAGAATGCCATTAACTTTCTCAGGCATTTCAAAGCAATCAATATTAAAATGTTTTCAGTCGCGAAAATCATTATAGAATGTCTAGTCAAAGTTGACCTAATCCTTCAAGCGCCTTCATTAGTGATATTGAAAACAAAATTCTTCAAAATAAGTCCACATGCCTTGACTGAAGTCTACAAGTACCAACAATACTTTCAAGTGTACAAGCGGGTCCAAAATTTTGAGACCACATTGAAAATTGAGGGTTTTTTTATCTTGAAATGTAAATATCTCATATTTAAAAAAAAAAAGTTACGATGTAAAAGCAGAATATTCATTGCCGGGCACAAGATGCTCTTTGGGACATTCTTAAATCATGCTGGATAACATGTTCATCAGTTTTTTGTGATGAAAATATCATTATATAATACTATTAAAATGTTTTCAGTCGCGAAAATCATTATAGAATGTCTAGTCAAAGTTGACCTAATCCTTCAAGCGCCTTCATTAGTGATATTGAAAACAAAATTCTTCAAAATAAGTCCACATGCCTTGACTGAAGTCTACAAGTACCAACAATACTTTCAAGTGTACAAGCGGGTCCAAAACTTTGAGACCACATTGAAAATTGAGTTTTTTTTTTATCTTGAAATGTAAATATCTCATATTTAAAAAAAACAAAGTTACGATGTAAAAGCAGAATATTCATTGCCGGGCACAAGATGCTCTTTGGGACATTCTTAAATCATGCTGGATAACATGTTCATCAGTTTTTTGTGATGAAAATATCATTATATAATATAAAAAAAGCATTTCAGAAGTTGTCTCCGACTTTCAGACCCCACTTTATGTCTTGGGAAATGAACTAAAGCAATACAACACATAAAATGTCTTTTCACCAGATGATCCTTCCTCATTATACATTCCTACATACATAAAAAGACACATTCTTTTAAAGGAATAGTTCAGCCAAAATGACAATTCTCTTCTACATATAGTTCCAAACCATTTTTTTTGTTCCAAAAGTATTTTGTTTTGTTTTTTTCTGTAAAAAGACAAAAGTACAATTGCTTGAAGAAATGGTACACAATTCTTGCCATACATTGCTTGCTGGAGCTTGAGTAAACAATTTGGGAACTATTCCTTTAGAGTGAGTGAGCAGCATTGCAATGACTGAAACACTTGTGTGCGCACCACTGAACAAGAAAAGCAACAATCAAAAAGCTAAAATCATAACACTATCCATGTGCTGGCCAGCAGTATCCATTAAAGCAACTAAACATCAGTGGAGCGGAGATTGTCAAGACTGTCGGGAAAGTCTGTGTCGCTGGGAGCGAGTTGAGGCTGGGAATGGTGTCGTTGTCGAGTCGTTGACTGAAAGATGTGGCCCATGTGTGAGAGTGAGGGAAGAGAGCTGTACGGCCCTTCTCTCTGACCCTCTTCCTTCAAATGCTTCTCCTGATTGGGCACCGGGGTCCACGGCTGCCAGGAATCTGCAGTGGAGCAGGACTTCACAAGCTGAGGCTTCCGCTGCGCAGAAAAGGTTTTGCTGGAAGAGCGCAACTGTCAATCAAGAGAGGATAACTGTCAGAAATGCTCATTTATTGTGTGTGTGTTTTTTTTAGAAATGTCCCAAGATACTGTTTTTTGAGAGAGAACTAAAAAAAAACATTTATAAAAAGAAGCTACAATTGTTGTTCATTTTGTAGAAGTTGATGTGATGTAATGCGTTTTGTGTTGCATGGAGATAAAAATGTAGTATTTATATTTGATGTAATTATTAGGATTGCTTGTTATTATATTGACAAACTCAAGTGGAATGAAAAACTGCCTAGGTGTGAACAATATAAAATTAACTAAAAATTCACACACACATATATATATTATATATAATGTATGTATGTATGTATGTATATATACTCTTAAAATTTACAGTAATATGTATTCTTATTTGTACTATTTGTTTAGTTCTCAAAAAAAAAAGGGGAAAAAAAAAGGTACAAATTTGTCCTAAGGTACAAATTTTTGGAGAGAATTGAAAAATAATTTACAAAAAGAAGCTAGGATTGTTGTTAATATTGTAGATGATGTCTAGAAGTATAAAAATGTAATATTTATGTTTGAGTATTTATATTTAATTATAATTGCTTATTCTATGTGACCCTGGACCACAAAACCAGTCATAAGGGTAAATTTTTCGAAATTGAGATTTATACAACATCTGAAAGTTGAATAAATAAGCTTTCAATTGATGTATGGTGTGTTATGATAGGACAATATTTGACTGAGATACAAATATTTGAAAATCTGGAAAAAAATCTAAATACTGAGAAAACTGACTTTAAAGTTGTCCAAATGAAGTTCTTAGCAATGCATATTACTAATCAAAAATTCAGTTTTGATATATTTTCGGTAGGAAATTTACAAAATATCTTTATGGAACATTACTTATGACTTTGTGGTCGAGCGTCGCATATTCATAAGTCAAATGGAATGAAAACTGCCTGTCTGAACAATTTTTTAAAAATTACATTAAAACATATTAGAAAACAATATCTGAAAAGTATGAGAAATAACATTGAATATAACAAACAACTAAACAAATAATAATACCGGAAAGAATAAATAATACCTGAAAGATCAATGACTGGAATCTAATGATTTTAAACACTTTAAGAATATTTACCTTAGATGGCCCTCTAAAGTCTTGAATTTTTGAGGAGATATCCTTGATCCAGCCCTTCATGTCTTCTGGGGTGTCTGTCTGTACACAAACACAAACACAAACACACACGCACACACACACACACACACACACACACAAGCAGGTTAAGCTGACATTTTTAACTTCAAGTTGTTTAGTTGTGCTATATGAAAGGATTACAGATCTCCATAAGCCTCATTTGCATTTACAACATGGCTGAACAGTACAGTAGCCACATAAACACCTGTCACATACTTGAAAAGCATTTATAATGAGTTATTTATGTTTCGCTTGAGTGACAGAGCATTTATGCAAGGATGATTCAAAAAACAGTTGATCTTTAAATACATTGACACACAGCTGCAGATTTGGATGCTAGTCAATTAGATGAACCATGTGCATAATATGTGGTCCACCTACACCAACATGATTTATTTTTTCATTTATTATCTTTATCACTGACGCCTTGATCATTCTAAATTAATTTAGTCCAGAGTTACCTGGATGTAGAAGGTTCTGGTATTGGTGATGATTTCAAAAAGGTTATCACGAGACAGCAGATCTCTACAACAAACAACACAATTAATGACAAAAACCCCTTTTGTACAACAAAGCAGATAAAAACATAATTTTCATTCATCATTCATTTTAAAGCTCATATATATATATATACACAGTATATATATATATATATATATATATATATGAGCACCAAATCACCATATTAGAATACTGAAAATTCAGCTTTGCATCACAGGAATAAATTACATTTTAAAACATATTAAAATAGAATACTGATATTTGAAATTGTAGTAATATTTCATAATATTACTGTTTTTACTGTATTTTTAATCAAATAAATGCAGCCTTGTGCGCATAATGACTTCTAATAATACATTCTTTCAAATACACACACAGACACACACACACACAAAGGCAGCAGCGTTCTCACCCTGATTTCACAAGACACTCGTTAACTTTAAGCACATCCTGCAATCGAATACTGCGTAATGGTTCCTTATCCTAAAAAGAGACAGAGTACTGGTTTATATATCTGTTCATTATATAAATGAATCATTTCCATTCTTTTAAAGAGTTTACCATTCCAGCATCTTACCATTTCAGATTTATAGTAGCTCACAGTTTGGTTATCTAGAATAAAAAACCTCCTCTTCCAGCTTTTCCTCTGAAAAATGATGCAGTTTAATTGTGGTGCTAACAAAATTCTTTTAACATATTCTTATAGAAGTATCTACCTTAGATTTACATTGGACATCAAGTGGCGATCCAATTACATATTGTATTGTAACAGAAATAATGTAATAATACTATGAACTGCATAGGCCCAACAAATTTTTTTTTTGCTGAAAATGTACTCATCCTCAGGCCAAGTTGATTATTTTGTTTCTTCATCTGAACAGATTACTAACAAACACTTTTTTTGTTTTTTTACCTATCAAGACATTAATTGATGGACTGTGGTTGTGTGGATCACTTGTGGATTATTGTGATGTTTTTATCAGCTGTTTGGACTCTCATTCTGACGGCACCCATTCACTGCAGAGGATCCATTGGTAATACTAAGTTTATTCAAATATGTTCCAATGAAGAAACAAACTCATCTACGCTACATCTCAGATGGATTGAGGGTGAGTAAATTTTCATTTTTGGGTGAACTATTCCTGTAACAACTACATCCATGGCATATTATCTGCAAAAACTGATATTTTACTCAACTGATATGACAAGACACTGGTCTTACCACATTGCCTTGCTTGACACAGTAGCCAGACCTCATGACATTTGGACGCACACTCTGACATCTCCTTAAAGTGACGTGTGATCCTAGTTCACTCGTGAAGACGTCCTCATTATCGCTCTGAGAAAAACACAACGGATTCATATTCATATTTTCCTAAATTAAATAGATGAATAAAGAACACATACAAATACGTCACCTGCTGGACTGGCGTGTGCACAACCACACCTCCCACAATTTCGGTTTTATACGCCTGTCGAGATGTTGACTGACTTGGGTTTGAAACATTTGTGGCATCAGAGCTTTGGGTCACTGGTGATGCTTTTGGAACCTTAAAAAGATATGTACTGATTAATATATGCATAAAGTTTCATTAGTTTATTCAGATACAACTGTATAGGACTTTGCATTAATCAAAGTATAATCTCATCTTTCATCTGCAAACTGATGTTGCATAGGCTCTAACTAAGAATGCTTATTTGTGGATTAAGTCCAGGTTTGTCATTTGTATTAGCATATGGATGAGATATGACAAAGAAAACACCAAACATAACAATAAGCATACACAAAAAGCTCGACATACTGTAATTTTGGTGGCATTATTCAGAGCAATGACCCATTCCTTCAAGTCCATAGCATCATTGGCCTGCAGAAAGTACCGTCTGGACAATGCATTTATTACTGGGAGACAAAAAAAAGTAGTTATAGATACTGTGGGGGAGAAAAACAACAACAACAACAACAACAAAAAACACCCATTTTATGTACTTACCAAAGCAGAATTCTGCTTTTGGTTTCTGCTTTACTGATGCTTCATTAACCTACAAACAAGTTCAATCAAAAGCTAAATAAGTAATTATAAAAAGAAGTCTTGTATTTTTTTTTATATTACAGTAGAATTTGATACCTTTGAAATGTAACTGAGTCGTAAACTTCCAACAAACTTTGTTCCCGGAGGTAAGTTCTGTTTTTTTAAGGAAACAAGTAAAAATAGTTATGCAAAAATACAGGATTGAAATTTTTTGAATGCAAAGTTGAGGTTTGGGGTGTAGGTAAATAAGAGAATCTTCTGTAAAGCCATACTGCAACTTGAATGCACACTAAGAGCTATACCTGTGGATTGTCCATATACCAGAGGAGAAAATTCTCACGAGTATCCAAGATAAAATAACGCCGATAAAACTTATCACTGTTCTCATTTTCCTCAATATCCAGGAATCCACAGGTCCGATTTTGTCTGTCCAGGTAAGGCATGTCCCAGATCTACAAAACAAACAAATGAATAAATAAATAATAATCATTTTAAAAAATCAATAAATTTCTCAATCTCACACATAACTTGGTCCCTTGTTTAAATAAATTAACTTGAAACAAAACTTTAAATTGATTTAGAAACAGACCAATATATATATATATATATATATATATATATATATTAGGGCTGTGAGTTTAACGCGTTAAACTAATTAATTAGTTATGAAAAAAATAACGCGATTAAAATATTTTAACGACGCAGTTAACGCCCCCAGAACTGTGTGTCATCTTACATTTCATACAGTTGACTTGACAAAATACGATGCAGGGCAACAACTCCATTATGCTCTACAATTCAAGATATTGGGGCAAAAAATGCCCCTGTATGAGTTTTTGTCTCATATTTATTATGATAAGCGATATCACACGAGTGCTGTTTTTGTCACGAACACACAGAGCGCAAATGTGATTTTATAAAACATTTCAGTAAATAAGAAGTTATTATTGTGCTATATTTTAAACACAATATTCCGTGCTTTTCAATTTTGCCAACGAAAATATTACCTAAGCCTCTGAAGCATCGTGGTCACTACAGTGAACCGATATTTGGAAGCCATTTTGAACCATTTAAGATGTAGCATCATGTCCCAACCACCAACTGGCGAACCCCCAAAGTGTTGTCTAAGATTCCATTTAATTGTTGTCTTTTTATCAAATTGAGATATTATTGCATAATATATTCAAAATAGTCACGGGAAAAGGGGAGGCACCATGTAACTTGGGAATACGTGTTAAAGGGGTCATAGGATGCCCATTTTCCACAAGTTGATATGATTCTTTAGGGTCTTAATGAAAAGTCTGTAACATAGTTTGGTTAAAATTTCTCAATGGTAGTGTAAAAAAAACACCTTTTTCCCCTGTCAAATACAGCTCTTTTCAGATCAAGCCGTTTTTGTAGCATTTTCCTTTAAATGTTAATGAGCTCTGCTGACCCCGCCCCTCTCTTCTGAGCTGCTCTCAGAGAGACTGTTTACTTTAGCCGCATTCATCGTGAAACTTGCTAATTAGCACATTATTAGGAAAGGCGATTTGCAAAGATTTATGACAAAACATTATACTCACTTCTTCTGTAGGTGAAGCTGGATCACGAATGATTCACGCGAACATAGACGCATTTAGGCAGATCGGGGGAGCATTCCCTTCAGAAACAAACGAAATCCACTGCGAGTTCAGCGGTTCAGATGTCGGGAGTAAATGACGACTGCTATGTTCGTTATTACATCCAACAACAGAACACCTCAATCGCTTAGGAGTCATTCTTGTCTACATCTGCTCCGGCGGTGAAACAATGGCGGACTGATGACAGCTCACTCAGGGCGGGGCTAAGGTAAGACACCAGTCCAGTCTGTGCTGAAGCACTACTGTCAATCAAACTATAGTGGGAGGGGCCTGGCTGTGTGACGGCACACAGACAGGCATCTGAGATCGGCTCGATTTGAGAAAGGGGAAATAATTTAACCAGATTAAAAAAAAAACACTGGGTGGATTTTTAGCATTATAGGGTGGTTGTGTACACACACTGCCAACACACATTTCAGTTCAAACAACTTGTAAAAGTGCATGTAGCATCCTATGACCCCTTTAAATACTTTTATTCTCAGAAAACCAGACAGGTTCAAAAAATATTTTTCAGTTAAATAGGATGTCAGAAATCGATTCATCCAGATTTTAACTATATTTTTCTTGTAAATTTTTTTCTGTGTCAGAAAATATATCTGTCCACTACAATAGACGTCATGCACCAAAGGGTATAATTCTACGTATGGGCCTTTATATAGGTTCTGCCTTATTAGTATGTTTTATTAAAATTATGATATAATTTACACTTGAATGGTTTTATTGAACAGAAATATTATTCAGATTTTAGCATTTATTTCAATGCTTACAATCTATATTTATTTATTAGGTTATATAAAACTGTAGGCATGTGTACATGTATACTGTATGAGTGCATATATATGTGTGCATGATTGTGTTCGAGTGTGTGGTGGGAGGGTGTGTGCGCTTGTGTGTTTGTATTTGTGCTCACATGTGTATGAAAAGCCCACTACCCCCCCACCCACACCCTGCCCCACACACCCCTGGCCCATAGACACACACTCTTACGTTTTGTTTGTTACACTTCACATTTCTGTGCCGTCATGACATAGCTTGTTGTTATTGAATGTTCTTATGTGTATTCAAACCATTTTCACGTAGTAAATATTTTAAAAACATGTTTTTTAAGACCGCGCATTTAGTTCTATTGATTCACTTTTTATACATTTGATGCATGGTGGATACAGTGGACATATATGTAACTCCCTCAAAATATAATATATTAACAAAAAAAATTTTGCCATGATTTTTCACTTGTTTAAAAGTAAAAACAAACATGTCAAAAAATATTACTTTGTGATTTAATAATTCATGCATCAGAAGGCTAAAAAGCCACAGCAGAAATGTTGTGCACCTCCCGAGCAACACAGCAGTGTTTAGTTTCTGAATGAATCCGCGTTTTGAACGAATCGTGTGAATCAATGATTCAGTAGCCCATAGAGAGAGCCGTTTACTGAATTCCTGAATGAATCAGCCTTTTGAACGAATCGACTCAAAAAGACATTTACCGCCACCTGCTGCTAGTTTCAGTATCTTCTTTAGAGTATCATTTCGTTTATTAAAAAAAATTATTAATAATAAAAAAAACATTAAAGGGATAGTTCACCAAAAATAAATAAATAAAATTCTGTCATCATTTACTCACCCTCATGATGTTTCAAACCTGAATGACTCACTTTCTTTTGCACAACATAAAAGAAGGCATTTTGAATACTGTTGGTAACTACGCTGTTTTGGTCACTAGTGACTTTCATTGCATGAACAAACAATACTGAGATGTTTCTCAAATTATCTTTTTTGATGTTCCATACTTTATGTTAGGCCAATGTAGCCTAAAAATGTAACATGCTAACAGCTTTAAATGATCTTTTGGGGGTATTTTCACAGCCAAATTAATTTGCGATTATTTAGAAATCGCAGCATATGTGTGTGCGCGCGCGTATATTTTCCTATATAGGCCTACAAACACAGATATAAATATATTTGATAAAATAAACTGATTTAGAAACAATACATATTATACAACATTTACAAAAAAAATGGAACAACGAAAATAGCCTTATAATAATAAATCAGTATCTATCAGTACTCATTAGAATATGGTAATTTTTGTCTTTATTCTGTCAATAATAGATCCAGGGTTCCCACATCTTATGAAAAATGAATTCGTGACTATTCAAGTAGCTCGTGATTAGATAACTAAAATGTATTTTATAAAGGCTATACACTCACAAAGAGTAATGTCTAAGCGATACAAATAGTAGAGCTGAGCATAGCTTGAAAAATCAATGACTAAACGTTTAAAGTCAACGTTTTCATGAGCGTGGGAATCCTGTAAACCCAGCATAAGCGAAGCAAAAGCAAGTTTCCAGAGGGTCCATGTCAGGTGGATTCAGGTGTGGTTCACCTGGACCAGGTTTTCATGAACTCCCATGGAAAACGGTATTATGAGTATGAGAGGAAGTCGGTATTGTGGTACTGCCACACCTAATATTAACTTACTTCACTTCCAAAATCCCAAAGGCTGGTGACTCATCCGCGTTCTGCTGTGTGTGTGTGCGTGTTTTTCAGCGCTCCCTCAGAACACAATACACGCACAACGTGCGTTCATTTATCCGCGAAAACAGATGAAAGCTCCGCGCCGACTGTGCCGCGAGCGCAGCCTCTTTCCGGGTTGACAGCAAGTTGAGTTAAAACCAAAAGTAAACGCATCCGGTAATGGATCTTTATTAATTTTTTTTCACATGCGGAAAGCGGAACCCAGCAGACGCCGTGTCAGAAACGACGCAATGGGCGAGGGGTTGACAAGAGCGCGCGAAACAAGTTGTATTTATACAAGTGCTTTTAAGTTTGAACACTTTTTTTTTAAAAGTACATTGAAGCATCTGTCGGACGTTATAAAGTTAGATTACAGTTAGTTCGCTGCTCAATTTTACATTGAGAAAAGTATGAATATATCACAAACACTTTCACGCGTTTTGATGAAAACTGTGCGAATGGCGACAAATGACAATCTGGAGTGCGCGAGAGATCAACCACGACCGATGAAGCTCTGAAAATAACCTTTACATTTTTAAAATGCATTGTAACCATGCAAAATTCGTTTAAAACAGTAAACGCCTCTTACAGATTGTGGATCTATTCTAAAAGTATTTGATATGCACTCTAATCACAACTATGTGTATTTAATTGTGAAATGGAAAAATACACGATGTATTGCCCAAAGTATTGGGACACCCCCCTCTAATAAACAGGCTGACTATTTTTTTGATTTATTATCTTTGCATAAATCTTAATGTTAAAGCATATAGGCTAATGATATTCTAGAGAATTGTGTGCTTCTAATTTTATAGCAGCAACAGTTTGGACAGGACCCTTTTTCTATTCTAACATGACAATGCATAGGCTATGTGTATAAGGCATGTGACTTTAAATGCAAACCTTGAGCCAAAAACCCATCACCAAACACCAATGACTTGTACATGGGCACCGTTATTTTAGACACTTCCAAAACTGTTGCAACAGAGATGGAAATACAATTTTTTAAATACAAGAATTGTTTCCATCTTAGTTGTGGAAGTGCCTTTTTTCTGTTCTAAAGAAGGGGGTGTCCCAATACTTTTGTCTATATACTGTATGTACAAGTCATTGGTGTTTGGTGATGAGTTTTTGGCTCAAGGTCTGCATTTATAAAGTCACACCAGAGGTGTTCAGCTGGGATTAGGACTTTGCTTTCTGCAGTTCTTCCACACTGACTGAATCAATCATTTCTTTTTGAACCTTGCATGTCATGTTAGAATAGAAAAGTGTCCTGTCCAAACTGTTGCTATAAAATTAGAAGCACACAATTCCCTACAATGTAAAAAAAAAATCCGTAAAATTTACGGTAAAAAACCGGCAGCTGTGGTTACCGGAATTTTACCGTAAAAAATACGGTAGCAACGTTTTAGGTTTTACGGTTTTAACTTAAATTTACAGTTAAATACCGTAATTTAATTTGATATAATGTTAATATACCAACTGATGAGAAAGTCACACGATGAACCAAAGCCCATCACAAGCAGCTTGTAAATCATAACATATATAGAAGGTGCACAGTGTCATTCACACAAACACTAAACACCATCATGGTAACACACATGACACTGAAATAATGCAATAAATATTTACATGTAACAACATTAGGTGTAACCCTAATATACAAAACTGATAAGAAAAAACTAAGAAGAAACAGTTATTTCAACAAAAAAAACATACAATTTTAAATGTAACGCAGGGAATTCTGGGAATGTCAATTTACGGTTATTCATTGTAAATTATACGGTATTTTTCCACTTCCAAAAACGGTATACTACCGTAAAATTGATGTCCAATACATGTAATGTCCAATACAGTTTTTCACCGTATATAGTAGGGGAATTTACTGTTAACCATTTAACAGGTTTTTACTGTAGCATTTTTACAGTCTTTTACCGTTAAATTCACGGTCATTTTTTACAGTGTAGAATATCATTATATGCATAAGCATTAAGATTTGTACTCATGGAAATTATTAAAGTAGTCAAACCTGTTCATTAGAAGAGGGTGTCCCAATACTTTTGGTAATATAGTGTATGCACAACTTGGATTTTATAACAATATGCATAAACGTCAAATAAAATAGTCCATCACAATCTTTTTTAACATTTGTCTTTGTCAAATAGTTCAACAAAATATTTAATAAAAGCATTTGTGCATGTAAATAAACATGCCTCTAGTCGTATTTTTAAAATACTCTATAAAATTCAAAACCTGACTTAAAAAAAACATAGGCAAAGCTGAAATCTTATACCTGTTCTTCAGAAGGTACAGTTGGATGGTTGTTAAATTTGGCAGGTTTGTACTTGCTTTGTTAATGCTTTGCCTTTGGCACAGCTACCATTACCTGATACCTGTACCAGGTCTTACATGGAATGAAAAATTTTCTAAGCCAAAATAGTGATTTAAATGAGTTAAGGATACTATTACTTAAATCGCCTACTTTGTGTGTACATAATAATGCTAATGCACTAAATCTGGAAAATAAAATAAAAGGAAACAGGTCTTACTGAAGTAATTTTAAGTAAAATACAAACCAGAATCTATAAAGAAGTAGCTTACCTTGACTGTTTTTCCCTTCCTTAGATTTGGCCTTTGGCACAGCTACCATTACCTGATACCTGTACCAGGTCTTACATGGAATGAAAAATTTTCTAAGCCAAAATAGTGATTTAAATGAGTTAAAGATACTATTACTTAAATCGCCTACTTTGTGTGTACATAATAATGCTAATGCACTAAATCTGGAAAATAAAATAAAAGGAAACAGGTCTTACTGAAGTAATTTTAAGTAAAATACAAACCAGAATCTATAAAGAAGTAGCTTACCTTGACTGTTTTTCCCTTCCTTAGATTTGTTTTTTTAACCGTATCAAGTCAGAATATATCAAACAAGTTTGGAATACATTTAGACTCTTACAAAGGAGAACTACCAGAACAACAATGAACACTAAATGGGTGATAACAACCTATAATTAAAACTAATGATGCACTATTATCTGTATGTTAAACCTTTTCAGAGCAGAGCCAAAAGTCTAGTAGACTAATCATACAGAAGACATAGGCACATGTTAGTAGCTAAACACATTATAATCAAAGTTTGTTCCTACATTTGTATGTATTACATCTATTGTGAAAACTATACAAATAAACATTGCTTGAATTTTTACATCTTAACACCCACAATAGATACAAGAATATGCTGTGTATATAAATTATGATATAACACGTTTTAAATACACAAAGCTGAATAATGACAACCATATTAAATCAGCTTATTTATTAGAGTTTCAGTCAAATTTCATCTATAAAAAAAACGACGTCAGGTTAAAACATACTAAAACATTTTCATGACCTACATTTGTACATTTACATTGTATTATAAACTGGAAAGCTTATAAATTGTAAGCAATTACATACGAGTAACAAAGATAAATGTTTTAACATTTATGATAAACAATAAATTATTTCTATTAACAAAGGTGTACTTACCAATGGTAAGATATTGGATTTTGAATAAAAAAAATAATAAAATAAAACCCCCCCACAAATTTATGACACAGAACAAGTATCGTTTGAAAGGATCCGTGAGAATGTGTAAATGTTCATTGTTAAAATTCCATTTGTTCCAAAAGATTCAGTTGATGTGTCTGCAACACAAAAAAACAAAACAAAAGGTAAAAATCATCAACATATTCTCTCGTATTCCCTAAATCGAGTCATGTTATGCATTGTTCACAGAAGAATGTAAATAATTACATTAAGCATTTTGATAATTTTATAACATTAATAATAACAACTGTTCAAATGAATTTAAAATGTTTCATTTAAAGAAGAAAAAAGGTCTGCTATAGACTACAGTGAGGCATATTATCTTTTCTTCGTACAACTAGTAAGTGCAAGATGAAATAACCTCAGATATCAGCAGCAGTTATCATATTTTATATGGTGGGACAGATTATGTATAGGAAATTCAACTTTTGATATGATAATGCCATATTCTCAATATTACCAGACTGAATTCAGGCTGAAGTGGAGATTTTTGCCTCCGTGCAGAAGAAAAATCTCACTTTGAGAAAATGGCCTTTAATTAAAATATGGATTGAAATCCACAGCTGCAAATAGATAAAGTGCTACAAAAGAAGCACTTAAAAGTGTATTTTGGAGGTTTTCTTTCAACCAGTTGCATTAAAAAAAAACAGTGCTTTTGCCTGTAGAGTCTCACCTTTATAACTTTCAGACCAAACCTACAACCTGGTCAAGAGCTAAAGATCAGTCTGTCTGATTACGCTCTCAGTGACAAAGCAAGAAAGCAACCAGGAACCAAGAAAGAGAAATAAAACTTAAAATAACAGGAAACAAGTTTTCACTAGTTCTTTCCAGCCATAATGTGTAACCACAAGACTATAGTGGATAGCAGAATGAGAGATGGAAATTCGAGTCTGCGACTTGACTTGGACTCGAGACTTGACGAAGACAGAATATTCTCTCATTAAACGCCGTATTTTTCTATTCATTATATGCGCTGCAGCATCAAATATCACAACAATTCATCTATAAACACACCGAGCCAGCATTATTATATACTGTACATGTGTTATGCATCTGTTGGAAAAGTGCGATTATAAGAATGAATGCTTTGGCAAAGCATCTATCAAACGAATTAAATCGAAAGCGCGGTATGGCTTAGTTCCCTTATCAAATTACGAAAAGGCTGCGAGTTGATTAAATAATTATATCTGTTGCACTGCATGCATTTTGCCATGTCCAACACAGTTCAGGTGACTGCAACTCCCATCTCTGCATGTGCTGCGAGTTTAATGTGCATTTAGGAACGCAATGGCCACCAGTTGCACATTATCTTCACATTCGTTTAATTTCCAACATTTTTGTGGACAGATGATTACTGTATTTCACCAGATCTGTAATGAGAAGCATCTGTAAACCTGTTTTCCCTGAAATCTGCAGGGTTCTGCCCAAAATTACAACTCGAGGATTTAACTCTTGCAAGTGAAGAAATTAAGATAAAAATATTAGAATTTTCCTATTGTAAAATTTTATATGTATTATAAATGATTCATTTTTAATTTACATTTACTTTACAGTTCAGCTGT